ACAACGAGTGAGATTATTATCTTTGCATTTAACGCATTAAACTCGGTGTTTCGATTTTCGATTACACGTAATGATGTAATATATATATATATGTTTCAGGAGGGTGAAACGAGAGACGAAGTTTCTCGAAAGAATTCCATTTCCAACTGCTGCTCGTAATCTTATCGTTCCGTCCCATGATCGATATTCCGCGCGATCGTGAACACGTTCCCTTCTTCCCTTCGCGTTACGCGTTCTTCTTCTTGCGCGTTGTTCGGGATAAAACGTGGATGCGCCCATGGGAAATGGGAGGAGTGCGTTTGTACACACACGCGGGTTTGCATCGCGCGGAATCTCATTTTCTTGCGAAAAACGCTATTCAATACGGCCACGGCTCTTTGCCACCACCCTCCTTTGTTCTCCATCCATTCCCGGAACGTTACCCCTCTCCCACCCTCCATTCGTCTATATATAAAACGTTCATTGTCGGGAGAACATTACCGGGCATATTGTTGCGCCGATACCGATCTGACTATTTCACGTGAATTTTCGATCTCAACCTCCCCACCCCATTGAAATTTCGCCTCGATCCAACGCAATTTTCTCCTCGTTTCTCTTCTTTTTCTCTTCTTTTCGAGAGGGAGGGGGGGGGGGAGGGCTTTTGAAAGGTCGAGTCGAAAGGTTGAATTATATCGCGGTCAACCGAGCCTTTGTCCACGTTCCACGATGATTTTTTTTTTCACGATATCGTATCACGGATTTATACATTTTTCTCTTCAGAAGAAAACCGCTTCTACGAGTCGCAAACTGCGGTTAAACGTGCCGTGGAAATACTTAGTTCTTAAGAAAGGGGGATGATGCAGGGGATGAGCTAGTGGTGAATTACCTTCGTTTTCGGGGAAACATTTTTAGAAAGGGCCCTTATGCAAGCTTCAATGTTTCCGCGTCATTTGCTGGAACATAATGGAGGGTTGGTTCGAGTAAAGGTCTAGTACGCCCCGGATGACGAGTTCTTTTGTTCTGTGAATGGTTTACTTTTCTCGACTCGGAGCGTCTCAATTCCTACGACCAATTTCTTTCAGGCTGATATCGGATCGAAAAGAGCCCATTCGAATCGATAGACACATGCTGGATGCATCAACCTTTTCAGATTTATGAAAAAAAGAAAAAAAAAAAAAAAGACTCCTCCAACTCCATTCACAAGAATAATATAATCGTTTATTGAAAAGGGTTATCGTGACGTTGAAATACATTTTTTTCCCGAAGCGGTAGGAAGAAAAAAAAAAGAAATCATTTTGTTCTCAATTACGAGAAGTTTTGCCTTTTCTTTTTTTTCTTTTCATCAACAGCTTATTCGATTGTATCGATCACGAAGGATCCGTACCGGAATACCGAACGATCTGTTGAAATTTTCATTATTTCCCGATGCTTTCGCATGCCCAATCTCCGCGCGAGCTTTTTACAAATGAACGCGATTAAATAGCGCGCGTCGTGCAAAAATTGATCGGGCAGAAATACCCCTCCCGAGCTTTTATCACGGACCGTGGGAGCGGTAATTTTCATACAAGGCGGGCGGACAATGAGTCCGTTAAGTTAGTAATTAGGGCTATTAAACCGGTAAAGGTCGCGTAATTTAATTGGTCATTCGTTATTTGCCCGCGTTGTAGCACGGCGACGAGCGATTGATCGAAAAATTTGTCGACTAATTAAACGTAGCGCGGGCGTTGTGTGTGTATCGTTCGATCTCGTACGTCCAGAGAATTATAAAATGAAACGGACCTTTGAGCCCCTTTTTCCCCGGCCAATTATCGACAGATACAGAGCCCCGCTCTCTCTCTCTCTCTCTCTCTCGTCCAAGATTTTTTCTTTCTCTCTTTCTATTCTCGGAAAAAAAAAGGAAAAACTAGAGATCGAGCAGGATCGGGCGCGCAAGGAATACACGGTTGATCGAGGTCAGTGGCGTTCCCTGTCCACTGACGAGAGTCGAGATTCAAAAGGGATGGCGGATAGAAGTTAATTATAAAGCGCGGCCCCGGTCGTCAAGCAGTATCGAAGATCAAAGTCCAAAATGTTGCCCGATCTTTCCATCCAGTTTCCATCCACTCGCAAAATTTATTAAGCCCGACACGCCTTGTCGAGGCATCCGTCGGATTAACTAACTGTGCAATTAACTAATAGCAAGGAGTCAACGACCCCTTCCTCCTCCTCCTCCTCCTCCTCCTCCTCCTCCTAGGAAACTCGCGCGCGCCTTGGATTCGAGCCATCCCCGAATTTCATGCCGTTCGAAAATCGGACGATCGGATCTCAGCCAAGAGATCTTTCGCCGCCGGTTGAACGAGCCTTAACGGAATTAATGCCGCGAGAAAGTTTCTTATTTAACGCCGCAGATGCCGCAATTGAGTTTAGCAGCCACGGCCGTTGGTGGACCGGGTTCGATTATGCAAATCGGCAATCGTGATCCTTCGTTGAGCCGCGTTACGTAAGAATCGCTAAAACTACTACCCATAACCAGCCAGATGCTGGTCGAGCCAGAGAGAGATGGAAAGAGAGAGGGAGAGAGAATCTCGAAGGTGGGCCTCCCGTTCGATCCTCTCCTCTCCTCCCACACGAGTTAACCGAGTTAAGCCGATATTCTCGAGAAGATGCACGATGCACCGAGTCCGACAGGCGTTCCGCTCGGTGCGGTGAATGTAAATTTTCATTAAAATCTCGGCTCCCTACAGCGCCTACGTTTCCTGCGATTTCACTGCTGATTGCCAGCTAGTCGGTCGACTACTAAAACTCGACTCGTGCGAAAATTTCCCCGCGACACGAACGGGGATTATTATTCGCGTCGATTCGTATAAATAAATAATGAAAAAAAAGCTGCAACGAGTACTTTTTCGAAAAGTTATTATTATCTAAAATCGTAATAATGTAACGTATCTGTATTAATTCCAAGTTTAATTTCACTTCGCTTTCGACGATCGATCAACAGCCGAATAAAACTTGATTAAAACTGATCCCAATCTGATTTATAAAGAAAAATCTTTTCAACCATCTTCTCAACGCGATTATTTTTCGAATGAAATCGGTGTTGAAAAAAAGGAGAATAAACGGTCTCTCGGTTCGAGTCGCTCGGCGAATTCGAGTAGATTTCGTAAATTATAATAAGCGTGCACGCATTCAACGTGGAACAACGAAAGAAGTCTTCTTTCTTGACGGAATCGAATTCTCGACGATTCTCGATTAATAATTTCCTCGGTTACAACCGAGCCGAGTTCATTATAACACGCGTGAATATCCGGGTGCATCCTGCGACAACGACCCTCCTCCCCGCCGCAGGAGGCGTCGTCCTCGAGGCAACCGCAGTGCAGTTGCAATTTCAATGCGCCGTGCCAATTAATGCGAAGTCGTGTTCGAACTACCGATTCGACTCGCGTTAACGACGTTTCCACCACGGACATCGAGTGCCAATTATCGATATTAAATGTCCGATGGAAAATCGTGCGTCGTTTCGAGGCAACTTTTTCTTCTCTCTCCTCCTCCCGACTTTGATTAATTCGAGGGAAAGTTCGATCCCTGCCAGCAAGGGTTGAATTTTTCTCCTCTCGTTTCGACGAGATCAGATTTTATTCGTCGCGACGGATGGAAAGGATTTTCTAGGATCGAATTTCGAGCTTTTTGAACCGTTCGTTGCCGTTATAACCCGTTATGAATAATTAGCACACGGTTATTTTCCGGTTACGGAAAACCGTGGTCGGCGTGGAACAATGCGGCGCTAACTATCGGCCAAGTTTAATTATCGAGCGCAGTTCTCGCTCGAACTGTTATTTTAATCCCTCTTCCCCCCTCCCCCGAAATTGAACCGCGTCCACGAAATTGTCCACGGTAGCTCTAAATTCCGAATTGGATCTATATCTACTAATCGGCCGTAAATGGAAAACCGAAAGGATTGGATTGTTGCGCGGAGCCGAGTTTCGAGCGGATCGCTGTCATCGATTCCTGAGAGGTTTCGTTCTTTGGGATATCGAAGGATATAGAAGGAAGAGGGGGATAAATTCGAGAGACAGAGACAAAGCGCGTGGACGGGAATACTGTGGTATTTCGTTTATAGAAAATTTGCTCTCTTATTCCCAACAAGAGGTGTAATAATGCGTGAACTTTAAACACGCGGCTTCTCGACAATGTTACTCGAGACGCGCTGCATGATGCAACGATAAGAACCAAAAAAGAAGAAAGAAGAAAAGAGGACAGGCGACAACGTAATCCAGTTGGAACAACTGGAAATGGTCGGAACGACTTTACGAGCGATAAAAGGAAAGGCGACGTTGGGGAAACGTTGGGGAGATGAAATGACCTTGAAAAAGATTTCTCTCGTCGGCGATAATGACCGAGTCGCGTCTACGTGTATGGCGAACACGAATTCCTTCGAGAAAGAAACGAAATTACAAATAATCCACTGTAATCCACTTTTCTTTTCATTTTTCCCCTGTTTCAGAAGGCAGTCCTCGCTCAGGGAGGGAGAGAATGAACGACGCTCGGTTGGCCGCTAACAAGTGCCAGCGAAATCGTCCTTTACACCGGCGAAATTGATGAACCGAGGGGAAGCTGCGCGGAAGTTGGAAGCGGACAGAGAGGAGGGCACCCTCGTTTCTTCGTTCGGCTCGCGAAACCTCGAACGAACGAAGGATTCGCGTTTTGGAAATTAATCAATTATCTTCGCAAGAATGCCGGATAATTAGAGAACGGTCGTACTCGAATCTCTCGATTTTAATTGGTCGAATCCAATCGGGTCGATAGCTAATTGCACGTATCTCGCTCGTATTTCGGTATTGGAAGAGATGCAAAGCGCGTGTCGATCTCACGTCCAAGGAGTTACGTCCATCCCGAACAGCGATTTAGAATCGATCTAAAACCAATTTAGGGATTCGAGGAGCGAGTCGATGAGCCGATACTCTGCCGTGAGCTGTTGGATCGCGTCTAAGTCTGTTGATATGCGAGCCGCGTATCAAGGGTGAGAGAGAGAGAGAGAGTGTTCGTGGACGTAGGGAACAATGACGAGCGAGTTGAACGCGACGACGAAGGTGGAGAGCTCGGGTGGCGCGATGAATCTCGTATCGACGATGTCCTCGTCGCCGCCCGGCTCGGTTTCAGCCGCGATCGCGACCGCCAGCACGGCAATTCCGACTAATCCGTCCACGACAGTAACGGGTGGAGCTGCGGTGACGAGCACCGCTAAACCCGACCATCACGTCTACAACGCGACCGGCTACCTCGTGGAGCACGACGAGCTCGATCACAGTAAGTAATAAGAGGCCGGTTGAATACGGTTAATGCGCGTTACACCGGTCAAAGCCGGACCTAATGGAAGCTGCATTAGGCCGCTCCACGCCCGGAAATGCCACTTACCGATCATCCCCGCTATTTCTCCCTGCCTTTCTTACCTCTTTTTCCCTTTTCCCCCGTCTCTCTTTCTTTTTCTTTTCTTCTTCTTCTTCTTCTTCTTCTTCTCGATCAACGACCTTTTGATATCTACTTGCTTTTCGCGATAAAAATCGCATTTCGAATTTGCTTTTAACGATGCGAAACGAAAGAGGCGTAGGATTCGATATATTGGATAATTCGCGGAAATTTTAAAAAAACCTATATCGATTCCTTCGAAAGAGGAAAGGTATTTCTCTCGATCGATCTCGTTTCATCGGGAATCAAAGGGATCTTGGGGGAATTGGTGTAAATGTTGCTCGTTCGTTTCTACGCCCTCTCGATAGCCTTGCTAACTAATCCACGAATTCCCACCTCTTCCTTTCGCAAAACAGCTTTCCGAGGGAAGCTTAATCCTCCCATCTCTGCCGAAATTTATCACCGGCTATCCGTAGCTAGGCTACCTTTTCTCTTTTTCGAAACTCGATTACAAAATTTCAATGCACCAAACTCTTCCTTTTATCGCACGATGATAAATGATATACGAAACGCGACTCGTTTCGATTTTACATTTTTGCTCAAGTCTCGAGGATCGAGCTTGGAAGACGAGTAATAGTAGTGGTTTTTTTTCAAAAGGATCAAAGGATAACCGCGTTATCAGAGGCACGCATCCCTTCCTCCCTCCCTCTCCTGTTTCGCCAGAGCAAATCTTGGCCTTCCACCTTCATCCTTGCCCGGCCGGCCGACTGCGACACAGGCTGAATACTAATCGCAACGCTGCGGTCTACCAAAGTCGGATCGATACCGCCCCCTCTCTAGAATCGTCGGGGCGATGCGATGAAATTCGGCCCCCCGATCGAAAAAGCTTTTTGTCGTTAGATGTATTCGTGTACTTTCCTCACCTCGAGCTACTCGGCGGTACCACAATTTTTTTCCCCCTCCAATATTTATGAGAGTTACCTGTTATGCACGAGTGGAGGATGGCGGCGATTTCTCGAATACGTTTCCTCCCGGATCTGAAACAATGCGGTATTCTCAAACGCGACAGCCTTTCCCCCAATATTTAGATTATTGTAAATTGTTTATGTTCCTTTTCCACGAAACATGGACAACGAGCTTTATATTTCTCCACGGCCTTTTTCCTTTGTTTCTTTACATCTCGCTCTCTTTCTCTCGATTAATTTTCGGCTCGATTACCTTTGATTTTAACAGCATCGCCTTCAGGATTCGTTGAATTTCCGCCTGCGCTTCCAGCGCGTAAGGTCGCTCCAATCTCTTCAGGAAACGCGTGACGGTCATGGAGAATGTATCCCATTGATCCGATTCGCTCTCGTAACTGTAGCTGCTCGACGCCGTGCTGTACATTCCCAAAATTCTGAATTCCTGATTTTCCTGTTTTTCGCATGTAACGTGATCATCAATCCTTCTTTTTTTTTTTTTTTACGAGGCAAAGAATAATATTCTTTGGACAGAAAGAATATATATATACGTACCGCTATATAATAAAAAATTCATCGTGGAATGTTTTTTAATGCGTTATTCTTCCTTTTTTCTTTCTTTTTTGTCTTTCGGATTTAACGAGTTCCACGAGATTTTGATTATACTAATGCAAAATTACGTTTGTATCATCGTTCCTTCAAAATATCGCGACGTTAGAACGGCGCAAGAAAAGGAAAGAAAAGAAAAATACACGAAAGAGGAAACATTCCACGGATTCGTGAGCAGGGTTTCGTTTGTTTCGTTCGTTATTGATCTACCTGTCGCCTTCGATCCGTCGATTCGTCGTCCCCGGACGAATACTCGCGGCGTTTCAATCTCTCGCAGCAGGAGTTGGTCGAGCGGATCCTACACGAGAGGGATGCATCCATTTGTTTCTTAACGTTGGATATCCTGCCGCAGGAGCGGGAGCAAGCTCGAGGCTGGCCCTTGATCTTCGGCAAGGAAATTGCGGGGGAGCTGATGGAGTTGGAGGGGCCATGGGGGGAGATGGACGCGGCGCTTTTCGCGCGGCTGCTTCTACGCGATAATACGCATCGAGCGCAATTGCATCGAGGCGAAATGTCCTCCCTGTACTCGCCGCAAGGTTTGCCTATCCTCTGCGAAAATTCGGCCGAGATGAGTATCGTTTTTTTTTTCTTTCGTATCGACAAAATTGGAATAGAAAATACGATATAACGCGTGTCGCGTATTGGTGAACGGGGCTCCATGCCAAAAGTGTTGCGCAAATCATTCCATATCTCTATAAGACCAGCTACGTTTCTCAACTGACATCAACAACCGTTTCTATTTTAAAAAGAGCAATTTTAATCCCCGTCTTTCTCGAGAATTTGTACATATAAAATGTAAACAGGAGGCGATTTATTCAATCGTTGATCAATCGTTCAATATCAGAGATATCTATTGAAAACAAACGCGTTAGATTATTCGGTTGTAACCACGGTTAATTGAAGAGAGAGAAAGAGCTAGAGAGAGAATTTATAATAAAAGGTATAGAACGACGTGGAGCCCCGATATAACGAGAAAGTAGCAAGCCAGTAACGTTTATTGTGAACGTGTTTGTCGAGGTCCACGCTAATGGCGTGTATATAACGAGTTGATCGATACGAACGTGCAACTCGACCGCCTCGTCGTAATCCAGGTACGGGTAGAGGAATCGATGCAATTCATAGAACCACGGTATCTGGACCTGGTAGTAATAACCGTTCGATTTCGCCTCCAACAGATTTCTCAACTCGTTCACGTACAATCGCCTCATCTCCCGGATCTTCAACACGATCTCGACGAAGGTGACCCCGGGCAGATTCATGGCGAGGTGTATACGGGCGTACGCGCGATGCCTGTGCTCGCTGTTCAAGTAGCTCCACGTGTCCTTCTTCCACAGGCAGGCCGATTTTCTGTACAGGGAGGCCAGCTTCCGGAAATGACAGTTCGCCCATCCCTCGGCGATCCTCCTCCGTGACGATCGTGATCCTCGTTCCGAGTCGCTCATTGTGCGCTCGAGCTCCGCCCGTGTCGTCCTCCGCTCATCGCCGCTCTCCAGCCGAATGGAAACGAGATGGACGATGTACAGTTATCGACCCCGATGGGGCGCATCGTCGACGCGAGGTTAGGTGTTTCTTTTTTTTTTTCAGAAATTTTTTTAGGAGTTTAAGAGGAGTAGGTTTTTTTTTTTTTTTTTTAACCTTGGAAAGAAAGCGTTCTTCCTATTCTTCTTCACTTTTGAATTTTTTCCTTTTATCGTCGAGAATAACGAGAGTGACGCTCCCTTCGATCGATGGATTCGGTCAAGTCAACGCGAATGTCATCTTCGGGGATTAGGGGTTATTGACACGTGTACGCGTTGAAAAAAGAAGAGTTTCGAGGAGAATTTCGTTCGTCCCTCCCTCCACTCCTCCCTCTCCTTCGTCTCGAATATGTTCGAAGCCGACGAAAGTCGAGGCGGCCACGATTAATCGTATATCGAATTTAATTTATAATTTGTTAAAATTATACCGATCTTGATTGTTGTTCCTCGAGGAAACAAATCTATAATCTCACGATGTTATTGCAGGTATACTAGCCGGTTTCTCAGATATACAGACAGTTTTTCTAGCGTGTATCTCGACGTTGCTGCCGTTGATCGTCGCGCTTGGGATCGCCTTCGGCGTCAGGTAAGAGGAATAATATCACACGTAAGTTTTCACGCAACCTATGTTTAAGAAAAAGTGTTGCTTCTTTATGGGCTATCACTTACCCGTAATCCTTCTGTATCGACCAACACGCGCAGACAGACACACGCGCGCAAACAGGTGCGCGCCTCTCCCGAAAATAAAGGGAGAAAGATAAAAGGCAATTTCAGTTTTTGACGTTTAGTAGTATTTTATTCCTACGATCTATTTTTTTTTTTTTTTTCCCTTTCTTTTTTAACGTATCGAGAATTATCTTAATTAAAGTCCACCCTGTCGAAGGAAGAAGGGGGGCAGGTGACACGCCATCCATATTTATAAATATATTCTTTTATTCCCACCATTTTTGGGAGCGCAGGTGCGCTCCAAACGACGGATCCGGACGGACGTTCGTACCGTTTCTCCGTCTCTAAATTCGTAACAGTGGAGATGGAGAGATCGCGCTAAGGGACGGAGAGAGAAAGAGAGACGAGATCCGCATCTAACCGCACAAAGAGGAAAACCGTTAAGTCAGCGAATGAGTTAACGGTACCAACGACGGTCGCGTTATAACCGAGGCTAAGAGGGGAGGAGAGCCTCTCTCTCTCTCTCTCTCTCTG